TATGTCCATTCAAATTTAATCTCAACCACATTTGTTCCACGGCGTGAGAGTTGGGATGTTCGAGAAGACGGGTGTAAAGACCACGTTTAATATAAAAACCAACACCTCCTCCGCGTGAGCGTAGTACATCAGGCGAACGTGGTAAATGTCGCAGACGGTAGCCGGGGGGCGCAGGAGCGCGCGCCTCCTCTCCGGCCCGCAGCCAAGTCTCGTTAATGGCTACAATGTCCACACCATGTCGCTCGATAGCGACCAGAAATTCGTCGTGATTGGTACCTAATGAACCTGGATTCAGAAAACCTAAGCGAAAGTTCTTAAATTTTTTGAATATCAAAACAAATGCACAAGATGTATGAATATACTGGCAGTTTACCAAATATTGTTTCAGAACACCAACATGACGCCAATCCATCCAATTAATTAGCTTAAGATACATAAAATAATCATGCACGGAAACACTTTTACAAAACAGATACTTAGCCAACATTGTTAATAGCAACATACAACAGTTCAAACAATTAAAAATACACTTGGGTTTTAAACTATTTGTTTCAAGCAAGCAATTACCCAATTCATATATGTAAAACATTTCTAATTCCAAATAATAAATTGCATTATAGATAAAAATGTAATAACGTAACAAACGTTTTGAATTTTTAGGAATAAATCTAAATAAATTAAAAAATATATAACGATTTGCTAAAGCGAAAGAATTACTTAGCCTACTTTTATAGCAATCAATTAAATCAAGCAATAGCACTAACAAATTGGGGACCAAAAACCCTGTCTATGTCTGCTTGCGTGCGAAGCCGATGACAGTCCTTACCCTGTTCCTTCCTCACAAAGATTTTACCATTCTTTGTCCATACGTATTTCCATTTATGATGCTTAGCAGCAGCGCGTGCATCATAAAACAATTGCCGATTTACTCTGGTGAGCCGCTCATTAACATAAAAAGGTCTAGCGGTGCCCGGGAGAGGTAGGTCTTCAGAGGTTAAATCACGGCGCACACGTGCAGCCCGTAGTAGCGAGTCTTGTAAGGCACGGCGCACCAGCCGAGCAACCAGAGGACGCGGTCGCGGCGGTGCAGCACCCTCCACCAACGAACGCACCGGACCGACACGCCCCGCATTTACGACATCCCTCTCTTCTAGTTGGACGCCGAGTTTATTTGCCACTGTAAGAAATATATGAGTGGCATTTTCACCATTTGTCTCTGGTAAATTGGAGATTTCAACATCAGTCAACAACAAGTCCTGATCCCGTTCCTGCATCTCTTGCTGTAATTTGGCTAAAGCTTTTTCCACTTCTACAATTTCATGAGTTTTTGGCTCACACATTTTGGTTTCGTAAGAGTCCATTTTTGCTTCCAAGATGTTCAACCTCAAATTTTGGGATTCAATAGCACTGGTAAGCCCTGTAACAGCTAATCGTATAGCGCGCAATTCCTCCATAACTAATTGCTTGAAATCAATGTCTGAGAAGTCAGAGTAGCTCAAATCGCATGTAATAATTTCCTTGTTAGTGGACAATTTCGGACTTTTAACTTTTGATCGTACTGTAATATTTTGATTTCCTTGATTAGTAGGACTCTCCGGTGATGCACTAGCGTCGTCATCTTGAACCTGCACAGTAGGTCGAACAGGCGTGTTGAGGTTACCTCTTTTAGGTTGTTTACTGATACATTCCGGACATTTCCAACTATTTTTACGATCCTTATTCAATGCATAGAATGAGTGGAAACGTTGACTGCTCATATTAATACAATCCAGATCATAAACAGCTTTGCAACACGAACATTGCAAATATTCATTTTTAGGGAGTGGTTTAATGCACGCCGCGCAGGTGGCAGGTTTTGAGTTCACTTTCGAAGACATTTCGTGAAAATTGCAATAGGTATAATAATTAATAAAAACTGGTAACTCAATCAACTGCCTTTCCCCAACAATGAGGTGATTTTCATAAGCTGGCAATATTAACTTTGACACTTGGGTAAATTTGACGTCAATTCGATTTTGACAACCTCAAATCAGCAAATGTTGAGGGTATTTTCAAATTGTTTTTGTTGAGTACCCAAATACAATTTATTTCCGAGACCAATTATTTGTTAAAGCAGTCTTGTTCTTGGTGCAAACACTTACGCGTGTTAATTAGAAGTTTTCCATTAGAGCGATCACCAGTTTCATCACCTTTCCCTTAAAATCCGCAATTAAAACACTATTAAACAAGGAGCACAAATTATGAAACTATCCCTCCAGTGTTGCCCGACCAAAAGTAATTAAAATCCATTCAGTATTTTTAGGTGAAAGGGTAACAAATATCCATACAAACGTAAGATTTAAATTAAAAGCGCAAGTGGTACAACAACAATACAAATTTAAATCGTTGTAGATCCTAAACAGTCACATAAAATGAAAAATGGTGTAGGGAGCCTAAACATGATTTTCGATTATCTAGATAATGATATCCCACTCGACATATTTCGTCAACTTATTTTTTTATTCGTCACAATATGACGCCCAATTGTCCCCATATTGAATTTTGATTACTATCATATCTTTAGTAGCACTCCCATGATTAAGACAAATCGATTGATGTATAAATCATCAAAATCGGTCCACGCGTTTGGTCCACAAAGGAACATACATACATATATAGACTGTTAAACACTATACCCTGTCTGCGCGTCGCGCTTCGCGCTCTTGCATTGCGCAGTCGAGTAAAAAGAGGAAGTCCTGTAAAAATATATCAGGAATATTTACAAGACAAAAATATTTCGTGTGTTTTTCAACTGTTAAATACAGTACGGGTCCGACAGCTGTCGAACAAATAGCCGTACACAGTCATTGTTCAGTACATCTATCATTGTATACGTTAATGATCGCCAGTCGCCGCGCCGCCATGCCCGTATATTTACCTCTGGGAAACTTCCTGCATCAGAAATTCATATAATATTTAAATTTTATTTTATTTTAAGTTCCTGCATTCTTTAAAGCTTTGATTGCTCAACGGGATAAAGAGACCTCAAACCTAACCACTAAGTAAATTTAAACGTTTTCTTTATTTAATGGCGAGGTACTACCCTGTAAACGAATAAAACACCTAAAGCTAAATATATGAGAAAATAGCCTTCTATAATTATAATAAATATTTCCAACACTCACACCAATTAGCCTTACCCCAAAGTTAGCACTGTAAGGCTTGTGTTATGGGATGCTAGGGTAACAGATATAATACATATACTATACATATATAAGTATATTTATATAGAAATACATATTAAACATCCATGACTGGAGTACGAATGCTCGTATTTATCATACCAAATCTGCCCCTACCGCGATTCGAATCCGGGGTCTCTCGAGTCGGCGACACCATTAAACTCGGCGTACAAACCACTCGGCCATGGAGGTCATCAAAATAAAAATAAAGAGAAATATTGTTCTCAAAATAAACAGAGATATTGTAATTTTAAGAAAATACTCTAATCCTGCAACGTATCTTTGCAATTCTTGCTGATATTTTTCCTAATAGTGGGTCTGACAGAATATCTTTTTATCAAAAAAAACAGTTTAAACAGAGTAATAATGAATAAAAAAAATGCCACTTCGACCAGGTAGTAGACCCAGGGTAGACCAGGCTCGAATATCAGCGCCGCAGCGGCCCTGGTCGAAGTGGCATTATTTTTTTATTCATTACTCTGTTTACACTGTATTTTTTTGAATTGTAATTTGAATATGACATTTTATTGGGTTCTTTATGCCTTTAATAAACAAGTATATTATTATTATTATTCTGCTGAAGTAAGGACCTAGTTGGCCTTTCTTGTTGTTCCATACCTTATTTATTATACAATATTGTTTAAGGCTTATATAAATCTGTCTTTCTTAATTTCTTTTGTATATCTAAATTCAATATTGTATCAATATCATAAATAGTTTTGCATACAACATGACATCAATTTTACTCCATTTGGTTTTTAGTTTCCATAAATATATAAACATTCCTAATTTCTCAATAAGTCTTAGGTATTGAGAGACTAAGGGTTGGCTGGGTTTGAATAAAGACTGCCTCGTTTTCTACAGGCCATTGAAGTACGCGTTATTGAATTTCTATTTTCTCTATATCCAATTATATCATATACAATCAATCCTAATAAACTATTGTTTTTTTTTATATCGGTCGTAAACTAGTTAATTTCATGAAACGTCAATAAATAAATAAAGTTTCGTGCATCAACCCGTAAAAAACTAGATTTATTTAATTTCATTAAGCTAAAAATTTTAAGATAACTACATCGATTGCTAGGCCTGCCGTTAGGTACGAATTTGGCCGGGTCAGCTAGTAGTAGTATATTCATAGATTCAAATATGAATGTTTGTTTGAAAGGTCTATTTCATACATCAAAAGCAGTTACGGGCAAATACTATTGATCAACAAAATAATGAAAAAATCTGAACAATTAAATATATTGTTTGCGGCAATAGTCGTGTTTACGTTCATAAGACACAATTTTTTTTATTGTACCACTACATACAAAAATATCTATACATGGATTTTTCCATAAAATATGTTTCTAATAAATGCGATAGCAAACAGCAATATGAATATTCCAGATAACCCATATAAAATTGCTTGGCAGATGTATGTTATTAATTGTTTGTTGCTAGATAACCGACGTACATTAATTTATTATTGTACGTTTAATCTTCTAATATGTGCGAGAATAGAAGTGAATTATTGACACTGATACCGCCAACACGGATCCCCTTGGTGCACTTCCCGAAAATTATGCACGACGTAAAAATAAATAGTTCATATATATACAAATAAGTTACTGCATTATGTTTAGATCGAAACAGTCAAAAATAAATTATAGCAAAGGACTTAATTTTGCGCTAAAATCTACAGTAAAAAAATACCAATAAATATTGGTGTAACAATAAAGCAGATTAAAATATTACGGAAAGATATTGAAACTTCAAGACTTACTTATCACTCTTTTTTTATTTCATTATTCAAATATGTTATTTAGTAAATTTGAACTAATCGGTGATTTATTTAAAAAAAAATGTCACGTGTTACTCACAATTACTTCTAAAACACACCGAAAACACTGGGCGCTCAATTAAATAAGAAAAATTAACAATACATTCTCGACTTACAAACTATATCACAGTCTGGGATGATAATTGAATATCAATTCGGCTAATTGTATCTCTCCCGCACCCTCGCGAACATTTCTGCGGTGTCGACTTTGTTGGCGCCTTCGTTCTTGCCGAAGAAAGTCATTCTGGATGTTTTCACCAAGCCCTTGCCGTTTTCGGAGTTCCTCCAGTACACCGTCTGCACAGCGTTCCTTCCGGCGATGTAGCGGGTGGCGCTGCCAATGATCTGCCTCTTGTCCATTTCGAAAACAGTTCGTTCTGTTTATAGTTTGGAAAACAAAAGCGTATCGGTGTCGGCGGTATTACAAGCTGAGTGCGCGACAAGCTGGTAGGTCCATTTGTGTCTGACTGGCGAGTCGCGCGCGCTTTTATACTGGCTGCCACGTGCTATATGCCTAAGTGGGCTGATAAAGGAACGGGGCATGATCGCTGTGACGTCATCTGTGTGTTTTGTTTAGATGCGCGGGCGAACTTTGCATTATCGCGTTCGCGTGGCGGCATCACTTAGGAATCGCATTATGAATAAGATCCATGTTTTGCCGAGTGGAAAATATTTATGTTTTAGTTGTAATTACTTGGGTGGTTGTTATTGATAGCGATTTTTCCCCGTTTTTCACCTTTCCGTGATGAACCTTTGAACGTTAGGAAATGGTGATAAAAAGTACATGTGTTTTGATTGCTACTTTTTACTTCAATCAGCTTGCTTTAACAACTTGAAATTGACAAAGCACAAAAGAAGTAGGAAAATAAAACGGAGAAATTTTTGCCTTGTATGTGTGCATAACCTGTGAATTCTTGTTAACTAAGCAATTATTATTATTTTTTTAAATAAAGAAAAAAATTAAATAAATCAGTTTTGTTCATATTGAGAGAATGAATAGGTAGTTTCTACAACATTTATTCCTTATTAACACATTATTAATTAATATTGCAATAATATTATAAAAAAAGCTTGTTTTTTTTCCAACACACACCAATTAACCTAGCCCCAAAATAAGCACTGTAAGGCTTGTGTTACTGCTGCGTATACTAGAGTAACGAATGGAATACATATACTGATACATATATAAGCTCGTATTCATCACACAAACATCTGTCCCCGTCGGGAATCGAACCCGGGACCTCTCGAGTAAGCGACACCTTGAAACCCGGCGTTCATACCACTCGGCCACAGAGGTCGTTATGATCAAAAACAGACATTCTAAAAAGAGCCTTTAAAAAAATCTATTATAATAATAAAACAATTGATTTAATATTGCGTCAGAATTTAATATTTATTAATACGACAACTCGCAATTATTAATTACGGGTCTTGTATTTTGTCACTCCACTTTGGGTACGAAAATGAGAGGGATTTCAATAATAATTTAATAATAATAAAAAAAATGGATGCGTGTAACTTATTTACGCGCGTGAGAAGTTATACTTCTTTAGCATCATTAAAATATTTTTTAATTGCATGCAAATAATTACAATAAAATAATAAGAGGACTGGAAAAGGATAGTTAACACAGTCAATTAAGTTCAGTTTTAATTTGAAAAATTAAATAAATATTCAAAATATTCAATTAAAATCACTACTGAATTTAAGTTATTAGTCCATATGTAATTAGCACTTGTAAGTAACTAAAACACGTTGTGTCTATATAGAAACTAGAAACATGTGCATAAATATTATAAACTAGCGGCCCGCCCTCGCTTCGCTTCGGTGTAGACCTGAAGCGTAGCCTACAGTTTTTGTTCTCAGGCTTGTTTTATACACAATGACATTCATCTATGATTATTCTTATACCTGCATGCAAAGTCTCAGCCCGTTCGGTTTTAAAATTGACAAAGTTTCATTCCCTATTTTATCCCCTTCGGGGTAGAATTGATCAAAATCCTTTCTTAGCGGATGCCTACGTCATAACATCTACCTGCATGCTAAATTTCAGCCCGATCCGTTCAGTGGTTTGGGCTGGGCGTTGATAGATTCCTACGTCAGTCAGTCACCTTTGAGTTTTATATATATAGATTATAAAAAAACTGAAGATGGTATATTTATCTTTTCCAAACTTCTATTGACATCACGTCGCTCAATTGTTTTGCCTTCCCAGAATCTCTCCACTAACATTTGAAATTTATGGTATGGTATTAAAGTTCAAATTGACTTTTAAGTATTATTACGAATCGTTTGTATGGGAGTAAAGAAAAGTTTTATTTTTGACATTTTCAGGCATTTTTTAAAATTTTTCTCTTCGTAAGAACCATCCTCGTACTTCAAGGAATATTCTAAAAAAAAAATCAGCCAAATCGGTCAAGCCGTTTTCATGTTATGTCGTGACAACGGAAAACGGGTTTCATTTTTATATATATAGATATGAAAACAGTGATCAGAGGCGACGAGCGTGCCAATATTGTTTTTGACAACGCGATCACCTTATGGAGCTCCGTGGATCGTTCAAAGTACCTTTCGAACAGATGTCTAATAATGTTGGATTATTCACTAACATTCATAACGCGCCCGCGGCCAACTTCATGGTGTTACTATTGTGTTAGTGATGCGCGCGCATCTCGAAATTTCACTCAGATGATTTTTTTCATAACGCGCCCGCGGCCAACTTAATGCTGTTACTTTTGGGTTACAGTGATGCGCGCGCATCTAAAAATTTCACTCTCATCATTTTTTCATAACGCGCCACCACTCCCACCAATTATCATATACTGATATATATTTTAGTATATTTATATAGAAATCCATATAAACATCCATTCATCCAGGCATTTTGGCGATCGAACCCGGGAGCTCTGAAAAGCAGATACCTTTAAACTCGGCGTACATACCATTCGGCCAAGGGGGTCGTCGAGATAAGAGATAATACGCTTATAACTATTTAATTGTAAAAGGGGTTTCATCACTACGTATAAAAAAAATCTTAATAGCAAACTGTGAATCACACATAAATTGATAACAATATAAAGAGTTAAAAGGAGAACATACTTTATTTTATTATAAAAGCGTAAATTGTTTTATGTTGAGTCTGAGCAAGTTCACTGTACAGCGTAAATAGGTATAGTGACCCCGTTGTACGCAAAATAGATAGTACAGAAAGTAATCTCATGTATGTACCTACTTGACTTTTCATACTTACGCTTGGCGGTCGCGCTAGGATTCTTTGGCTTGTGCTCAAAAAATCGTGGTAGTGGCACTCGTACGTATCTAGTTGTTTCATTTATTGTTGAGAATGAAACAAGAAGAATGGGAATATAAACCAATTATAACCAAAGCATTTTAATATTATTGTTATTATTTGGTAATAAATAAATAAAGAACGAAAATCCACCATTTGATGTCGAATTCAAACAACCGTCCACTGAAAACTTTTCATGTTGCTCTATTTTTGCACAAAAAGTTCACAGACGCGTGTCTCAAGCAGATGGAACTGGCAATCGTACTGGCACGTTTATAATATCATACAGTATTCTATCTTCATACAAACGGTCGGAAAGCGAGTCATACCTACACCACTCGAGTTCGAGGCACTCTCGGCGGGCACCCAGTCGTGAATGGCCCGCCGCGCCGCAGCGCCGACCGAACGGTGTGAATTGTTTTTTATGCAGTAAGCCGTGCTTAAACGTGCGTTTTGTATTGTAAATATTTGATTGAATTAAGTAGATACCTACATAATTTAGTATGGAAAAGAACAAATGACGATCAATATCGCACAACAGCACAATTACTGTTTTTGGTTGCTTGAACTCTTCAATAACACACCCAGAGATATCATTTTTTAAATTACCTGAAATATTGGAAAGGTGTCTTACCTTTATAGAATACTAGTGGCCCGCCCTCGCTTCGCTTCGGTGTAGAGCTGTAGTGTAAACTATACTTTTTGTTCTCAGGCTTGTGCTATAAAGAATGACTTTATTTATATAATTACACGTGTTATTGTGAGTCAACCATAAAAGATAGACATATGCTGTTGCGGGATATTTTTTAGACAATTTTATCCTTACACGCCTGAATAGCTCGCAGATTGCAGAATTTTTTCAGACTTAAATGACATTTATCGTTATATTTTGGACAATTCACACAATATCTTTATAAATTATAGCCTATGTGTTATTCTGATCTATAAGCTACATTACTGTAAAGTTTCATTAAAATCCGTTTAGTAGTTTTTGCGTGAAAGAGGAACAAACATCCATCCATACATCCATCCAAACAAACTTTCGCCTTTATAATATTAGTAAGGATTTTTTATATACCTATCTACTAGTACGTAATTTGTTTCTAATATTTAGGTATTTCGATTTTTCCATCGGGCAAAATATCTGGAATAATATATAAATAAGTGGTTAGGATGAAAAAAGAGACAAACGAGTAATCTACCTACACTCGCGTTAAAAACAAAACTACATAAAATACTGTAGGCGGGCGGCCCTACCGCGTGCTAACGCAGCGCTCGGCCGTAGGCATTTATTTCAAGGACAGGGCGGAGTCACAATACTATATAGATAATATTACCGTGGTACTGGTCCCAAGCGGACCGATAAATCGTGACAGAGAGCGGTGTCTATGTGTGGTGCGTAGCTCGAGTGAACTTTGTATGAAGATTACCTTCCGTACTATCTATTTTGCAGTACGACGCTCTATCTACCTAATAAAGTGCACAATATGTATTTCTGTAGCCGTGCTATATAGATGCACCTACAATTACGCTGGCTGTGATGTTGCGTCATTAAGTGCATTCTATCGACTTAAATGGCTAGCATTGATGATTAATTATCCCTTATGCCATCTTAACCTTTTCTTCAAAGGACACTGCGCGCCGGTAAATATCACTCACTTACTGTGGCCACCATACCAGCAGGTTTAAAGAGTTTTTAATTATATGCACTTAATGCTAAACGACGATATTGTTTCTGTAAAACACCAACTGATGCGGTTGAAATATTTTATGGAAGACAAGAAAAGAAAAAAAAAACAAAAGAGAAAACGATACAGACCCAAAGTAAAAAGAAGGAAATAAGACAAGCAAAACAAGACAAAAGAAAGAAAAACATAATTAATAGAGAATTGCAGGAAAATAAAGTAGTACACAATATAAAAATTACAGTCTTATATTGTGCACCTCTTTATTGTGTGAACCAATTTAATAGAACAATTGACTACAAATGAGCATAATTTTGCAAGTTCACAATTCGCAGTCGGTATGATCTTTCTTGCATTTTTTTTGTAGTGAAATATGAATACACCTGGAGCTTTCCTCTACGCCTCTTCAAGTAGACTTTCGGTTATTACGAACGTCATACACTATACTCTTATACTTATCCCACAACTGCGCAAAGC